CCTAAAATTCCAACAATATTAGAATTACTCTCACTATTAATAGTTTGGAATTCTAAAACTGTGTAATTGATGCAAACTTTTGCTTCTCCGATAGTGTTGACTGTACTATCTCTTAAGGAATATTTAATTATGTGATTTATTCCTAAAAAGGGAATTAATTCACTTTCTTTAATTAAATTGATTGGTAAAGATGGATCAAGTATGAATAAACACTCGTGATCCTTAAAGAAATATGATTCCAAAAGAATTTTTGGATATAATTGATTATATTTTTCAATAAAATGAAAGTATGAGTTCATAGGGGAATACGGATAATGGCGGCTTGGAACCGTATAGCCGTATTGCTACTAGGGAGTTTTAGTGTTATCGGACTATTGTCTGTCTGACACAACTCGTCTTGTACTACTTACGGACCAACGCAATTGGCGCTAGACAGTAGTGCGAGAGTATAAAATCAAACTTTCGCGCCTGTTTACAACTGCAACCTCTTATGCTAGTATATTCGCCTGATATCTTTTCTCAAGAGGGCTTTATTTAAACCTAAATTTCTCCTAAATTTTGGGAATCTAAAATTTTTGTTTTTTTCCTATCGATTAGTTATATTAAAAAGAATGATTCTGTGAAATTTGAAATTTTGTTATGATCAATGTCGAAAACTATATTGATTAATATTGTATATTATATACAGTTTTATGTAAAGTTGTAACCGAAATTCACTAGGATCTGTGTTAAGAAAAGATAATCCAAGAACACCTGTCAATTCGGGTTGTTGATTATTAATGTAGATGTGTAATTTGATAGGCTTATGCGCAATTATTATTGACACTGTTCCTGAGGTGAATATTGGTCCTGGAGTCAATAATAGAGATTCGGATCTATTAATTGTTGTACCTGGAGCCAATTTATTTTCGTTAATCAGGTTAATATCTAAACAAGGATTAACTATGAAGAGTCCTCTATTTTCTTTTAAATTTTGGGAAGATATGTGGATATTTGGATAAATAACTAAATTAATTGAAATTTCGTTGTTGTATTTATTCATTAACAATTCTATTTAGTACTGGAATTCTTCGGAAAGAGAAGTTTCGGATAAAAGTGATAATACGGCGTCTGATTCGGCCTTGGATAGAGATTTCACGTCTCCAAATTGCTCATTCATAAAAGACTGCTACTCTATTGAAATAATTTGTTTTATAAATTTGATCGAGAAATGGCGCACCAAGAATTCCAATAATCTCTGTTTCACTTTGATAATCAATACTTTCAAATCTAAGAGAGAAATCGCTGAATTCTATTAATGTACTACCACTTGTGCAAATTGCACCTTGTCTTGCTGTTATTATGGCGTTTTTATCTATAGATACAAACGATGATATTGCTGATTCTTTTACCAAATTTATTGTTAATGTATGATCAATAAGAAAATTACCTTTAAGTATGTGATTTAAAATTACCTGAGATTAATTCAACGTAAGGATAATTATGTTGATTATATTCAAGAATTGAGAAGTAATTATTCATTTGTGGTTACTAACCGAATTTTTAATAATAAATTGTCCACCAAACTATGGCTAAAAACATTACATATACAAGAAATGTAATAAAATAAACAAAATACATTAAGAATTTTATTATAACCTTTTTATTTTAATTCTTGTTTACGGATATTAATTGTACTGTTTGATGTAATAGTAAATCGAAGAATGTAGAAAAATCTTATTGATTTTGAAGAATTGTTATATTAAGATTATCGGTTTTATGAAATCGCCTTTTTGCGTTTGTTCCTCCTCTATTTCTGTGTTTTTTATCAATTTTAGGTTTATCTGGCATAATCTAATCTGACTGAAAATAACATTGTTATTTTAGAATATTGATATTACAAATAAATCAAAATTGAGATTTCTTTTCAATTGTTTATGTAAATCAAGGGCTAAGACAGAATTCGCCGAACGGCGTAAAACGTCGAGTACAAAGTCAAAATTCGCCGGACGGCGTAAAATTGACCCTGCTAAGACCTCAAAATTCCAAACAATGATATTATCAAAATTTATTGATATGAAAACCTCGCCGGACGGCGTAGATCTCCAATTTTCAAAGCTATAGTTCGCCGGACGGCGTAAAAATAGCTTACTCAATAATATTTTGAATGATTTTATGAATTTATTAAACAGTCGGTTTTAAACACCCTAATTCTCAAGTTCGTCGGACGGCGTAAAATGAAAATATAACAAATTCTGTAATTCGCCGGACGGCGTAAGAACAAAACTGCTAGAGAATTTAAAATGACCGTTTACAAATGTTTATAGTGAAGTATATGAATAAACATTTAATGAAATATGATGTGTTTATAAGGGTGATATAATTGATTTTGAATAAATTTGAACCTTTAAAAATGTTGAAATTTGCTCTAAATAAAGATGCCGAATTATTTGAGAATTTTCATAAAATTGTTTTTGCAACAAAAGTGACAATCCCACCGCTGCCACCAAATCAGCTGTTACGTTCCGAACTAGGCGTGGTTTTTAAATAAAATGAATTTTATTTACTTGAATGTAATAAGGCTGATTAATCAGGTTGGTAAAGCCTGATATTTATTTTTATGTAGGATCGTGGTCACTTGTCAAAACTACGGGTTTTGCGTTACAATAACAAGTCAAATATTCCCTTTTATAACATTTATTGATTAAATAATAACTATATAGTAATGATTATACAATAATGATACAAGTTTACAATTCTTTTACTTACTTTTAGCAATGAAGTCGGATAAATCGATGATTATAGCTTAATCGTTATAAATTGGTTTTGATTTGATTTGAAATAGTTCGTTTTGGTCGCACTTGTGTAACTTTAACGACTTAGATTGTTTTATAACTATTTAAAGAATTACAATATTCTTTATTGTTATTTCTCGTCACTCGCACCTTTGACAGGAATGAATTTTATAGCAGGTGTAAGAGAAGCAACATATACTAAATTGACAAATTTATAAAAAGAGATAATGCAGGATTTCTTTAGTATTTATAGTTATAAATACGACAGTTATTTCCATTAAATTATTGATTCTAAGTGTTAATTTGCTTCTCTTGCACCTATTGGCTATCAGGAAAGAACTATGTTCTAAGTGAAAAGTCAAATTAACTTGCACCTATTGGCTATCAGGAAAGAATACAATAATTATGGCGAAAGTAAACTGAAGGGTCGCTCTACGATGTTAGAGATTGCACCGGAACTTTTGACAAGCTTTATGGAAAAAGCTCTTGTTTATATACTAGTCGATTATGCTAATTAGTGGGAGAAATGTCATATTATTGAGGAGGAGGTGATCTATAAATAGAATTACTTTCCTTATATGGTAATGATCTACATCGCATGTATGACATTGAATCTCCTTCTTTCTGAATTCTCTCTTTTATATGCTTACAATGGGCTTTTGAAGATCATATTACACTTGGATCTTCACAACCTTCACATTCTTCACGCGTATAAACAAACAAGCTCGAACTTGCTTCACATTTTGCTTACATATATCTTATTTTTAGCTTTTCAACTTTCTGAACTTTTATGGTGAAAACGAATGTCATATCTCTTTTGAGATCGATTTCGTTTCCACACTCTATCCTATCAATATATACATAAATAAATACATTAAAATAAGACATATAGTTTAAGTATTGTAAAATTATCATAGAATTATATAAAATGTCTTATTTTAATCATAATTTTAAGGAAAATTAGTGAAAATTGTTACCGGGATGTAACACTGACATCTTTAAGAAGCAAATGGAACTTGTCGCAATGTTACCAACTTGTAAGTTCCGTAGTTAGCGAACCGCAATTTTGCGAAAGTTGCGGCTTCGATAATAAACATTGCCACAATTTCCTGAAGCTAATAAATCGTGCTAAAAACTTATTGAATGGTAAACAGACGAGATATCGTCCGAAAACCTTTAAGCAACATTGCGAGTCGCTATTGAATAGATACATACATTTAACCCTTAGCGGCATAGTGATAACCCAGATTACCACCTTTTCAATTCTCGTTAGATTCAACCTTTTTAAAGCAAAATCAAAAAATCTTTTTTTATTGATAAACCAAACATTGTTGAATGTAAATAAATTAATAATAATGGCAGTTTCGTTAAAATTATAAACAATTACAAACAATTATAAATAAATAAATTTTCAAAATAAATAGAGAAATTTATTTTTTTTGTTATATATTACATTAAAACACTAATTTAAAAAACAGAAATGCTTATGGGGGTTTTCGGAGTCGCTGATTACGAATCTGAAGTCCTTTTTTAAAAATTCAAAATGGCGGTTCCAATATGACGGACAAATTTTTAAGAATTGATCGAAACCGCCTGAATGTCGTTACTCGGGAGGTTTTCGGGGTCGCTGATTACGAATCTGAAGTCCTTTTTCTAAAATTCAAAATGGCGGATCCAATATGGCGGACGAATTTTTTAAGAATTCATCGAAATCGCCTGAAAGTCATTACTCGGGGTTTTTTGGGGTCGCTGATTACGAATCTGAAGTCCTTTTTTAATAATTCAAGATGGCGGATCCAATATGGCGGACGAATTTTTAAGAATCAAACGAAATCGCTTGAAAGTCGTTACTCGGGGGTTTTTGGGGTTGCTGATTACGAATCTTAAGTCCTTTTTTAAAAATTCAAAATGGCGGATCCAATATGGCGGACGAATTTTTAAGAATCAATCGAAATCGCTTGAAAGTCGTTACTCGGAGGTTTTTGGGGTCGCTGATTACGAATCTGAAGTCCTTTTTAAAAATTCTAAATGGCGGATCTAATATGGCGGACGAAGTTAATAATTTTACCTTCGGCATTGGCGTTACCCGATGTACACCGCGGGGAGGTTGCACGATCGGATTTTGTACATCGTATAGCCCTTAAAAGGGCTGTTTGATAAAGTTGCTGATTTTAATCAGTATTATAAATTTTGAAATGTTTTGTTTTGAACAAAAAAGTTCTATTGTTAGCAGTGGTAAGCAGTGAAGGAATTTCTTGCGGGTAATAAGCAGAGTGGGACATTGCAAATTTTACACATCCATGATGTTCGCTTTTGGTCAGCTTTAGTACTGCAATGAGCGCAGCGTCTAGGTGAAGCAATAATTTCTGGCATATGAGCTGATTGGCTTTTCCTTTTATCCTCGGACACTTTTGGTTTGTAAGAAGAGATTGAACTTAATTGACGTTTTTTTCCTTTCGAACTTGGTAGTTTGTGTCCTACCAATTCATCTACTAAACGTAACCTGAATTCTTTGGAAGTCAAAGGTGGATTAAATTTCTTCTCTTTGTACAATATATAGGCATTGACAACAGTGACATCTAAGAAATGGAAGATAATAGGTTTCAACGTGCCATTTTTTTGTTTCCGATTTACCAACACGGTCTCACGAGGGTCATGATAGTTAGACAAAAAGTAGACTGCCTTCTTGTCCATCCATTTAACCCAGCGAATACCCGTATTCGATGTTCGGAATTCGCTATCACCATGTATCATTTGTTTGTCTTGTATGTTATTTTTTGGCAATCTTGATCTATTCTGACGTACAGTACCACAAGCAAAAATTTTATCTTTTTTCAAAGATACCATGAGAGCTACCCCGGTAAAAAAATTGTCAAAGTATACATGGTGATTGTTTCCCTTCAACTCGAGAGTGAGATCTTTTACTACTCTTGCCCCTAACTGCTTTTCGATACTTTCAGTTTTTCCTGTATACAATTGAAATTCGCAAACATAAGCTGATGAATCTGCACGAACCCAGCACTTATATCCTCGTTTTACGGGTTTGAGAGGCATGTATTGTTTCATGCTACTGCGACCTTTAAATTTTATCATAGATTCATCGACACTTTGGTATTTGTTTGGCATAAAATATTTTTTAAAATTTTCATTCAGCTTATTTAGAAAAGGTCGCAATTTATATAATTTATCATAATCCGCATTACTCTTCTTTGGTTCTGTACTATTATCGTTGATGTGTATACAACCAAGAAAAAATCCGAATCTAACAACTGACATCAACGAACTTATGTAGGGATCATTAAGTTGCGGATTGGAAGACCAGTAATCCCGATAAGAAGGAGATATTTTAACACCCATTAGAATATTAATGCCCAAGAAAATCAACAATTCCTCTTTTGTAGTAGGTGCTTGATTATATTGCTTTTGTTGCAAATAACGATTTGTTTCTTGAACAATCAAGTCTAGCAAATCATCTGAAAATAAGCAGAAAAATATTTCTGATGGTGTTTTAACATTATCGGGAATGTCAGGTCCAACATTTCTAGTAAAAGGAGCATCGTTTTTTACTTTTCCTGATTCTACCCACTTTTCATCACTATCCGAAACATCATCTGCAGAATCTTCTTCATCAGAGATCGCAAAACTACTCTGCTGGATAGCGTCATTTCGATTTTCCACAATGTTCAAATCATCATCAATATCGGAGACACATAAGTCGTCAACAGACTAATTGTCGCTTGGAATATCTGCTAATTCTACTTCTTCTTCCATGTTATAAATTAAATAAAATAATAATAGCGAAACAAAGAACACAAGGAAAGAAACCAAAATTCAAGACGCAAATCTACTCTTAGTATTACGAACAAAATTAAAATAATAAAAAATAAAAAAAAATGACAAACGCAAGAAGAGACAAACTTTAAATTTGTAATAATGGACTGAACGAATATCTACGTTGCTGATGACAAACAATAAACAAAACACTGTTGAAAATTGAAAGAAACAAATGACAAACGCAAGAAGAGACAAACTTTAAATTTGTAATAATGGACTGAACGAATATCTACGTTGCTGATGACAAACAATAAACAAAACACTGTTGAAAATTGAAAGAAACAAATGACAAACGCAAGAAGAGACAAACTCTAAATTTGTAATAATGGACTGAACGAATATCTACGTTGCTGATGACAAACGCAAGAAGAGACAAACTCTAAATTTGTAATAATGGACTGAACGAATATCTACGTTGCTGATGACAAACGCAAGAAGAGACAAACTCTAAATTTGTAATAATGGACTGAACGAATATCTACGTTGCTGACGACAAACAATAAACAAAACACTGTTGACAATTCAACGAAACAAATGACAAACGCAAGAAAACACAAGCTCTAAATTAGTAGTATTGAACTGATAGAATACCTACGTTGATGGTGACAAACAATAAACAAAACACTGTTCACAATACAACGAAACAAAGGACAAACGCAAGAGTAACGACTTTCAGGCGATTTCGATCAATTCTTAAAAACTTGTCCGTCATATTGGATCCGCCATTTTGAATTTTAAAAAAAGGACTTAAGATTCGTAATCAGCGACCCCGAAAACTTCCATAAGCATTTCTGTTTTTTAAATTAGTTTTTTAATGTAATGTATGCCGCAAAGGGTTAATAATCAGGTGTTAAGCAACAAGTGCAAATTTCGTTTCAAAATCATTAATTATTATTTATTCATGAAAATGTATTATTATCCTAATTATATCGCAAAGTATTTGTATTATTGTTGCAAAAGAATTGTTAAATTTTAAATTATTAAAAATTAAATTTAAAATAGAAATTAAAATAATATTTCTGCAGCCATGGGTGGGAGTCCTCACTGAACGCGTTGAGTGAAGGCTTCCCGCGCGTCTCTCGACATTGCGCGAGGGAGAAAGAAGATTGTATGTAACGGCGAAGCGTTCTCTCTCAGACACACTGTTCTCGCGGATTACTGCGTTCTCCCTCCGTAGCATGACTTTCTCCCTCGCTCTAACGACTAGTACGCGTCTCTCTTGCTCTTACGCTGTCGAATGCATAGTGGATGCTTGCTCTCTAGCACTCGTTAGGTATTACGACCATAATACACATTAGTATGGCTGGGGACGTCTATGCTGTACACTATGACACAAATACACCTATGCTTCCTTACTCACAGCCTATCCTACCTTGCCCCTCTGTATCTCTCAAGCCTACAAGCTATGCCTGCCATTGCTTTACTATAATGTGCTTTTTAGATCTATATGCAACTGATCAATTCCAGATCAATATTGAGACAATTGATCTCAAAACTGGAATTGCAACAACATTCAAAATACTACAAAATAGAATGGAATTTCTTTCTGCTTGGAAATGTCCATTATCTTACATTATATTAACCTTTTATATGAGAGGGTTAATTCTAAAAAAATCTTAAAAATTAAATAAAATATAAAAATTATTCAAAAGAATAATTGGAAATAATTTTATTTGGAAATAACTTTATTATTTCAACACAATTGCACTAAACCGATTTTATTAGTTTGCAAATTCAGCAAAACTTGCATGGCAACAGGCCCCACCTTCCCTTTCCACCTACAATTTCGAAATTCAAAATCAGCAGAATTTCTCACCAGGTGCCCTAAGCCGACCTGTAGAGGCATCTGCAGCCCCTAAATTTTCGTTCAGTACGGTTTCCGCGAGCATCGAAGTTCCAACTCTGTTTGGAACCGTCCGGATTAAAGAGCCTATGCGCTCCCGTCCGGTACCAAGGACCCGAAATAATTTGTGTGCTTACACGAATAATTTCGGTCGGACGTAAAGTAAAACGCTAACTTACTCCGAAGTCCACAGAGGCCGGTTAAGAATCAATTTAGGTGAAGAGTTTTTAAATGTAATTAATTTTCCTTTTCTAAATTTTTGTCGAAAGACCAGCCGGGTGCGAAGTGCCCGCGTCTGCCCTTGCAATTGACGGCTTAACGAATTAGAGTAAGAGAGAGTGGATTTAGCTGTCCTTGTTTAAAAAAATTGTTCGCGCAATAAGAGTCCATACGTCAAACCGCGAATCAGCCACTCGAGTGATTGTGTGCATGTGAGAACAATTTTTAAAAATTCATGTTTTTGCCCGTCGAAAAGAAATTGCCGACGGTAGAATAAGAAAGCGGAACGGTAAGTACTCAGTATCGTTCCGGGGTAATTTTGTAATTTTTGAAACTACATCCTTCTTCCGTCCCTCCTTCTTTGTAAGAGAGAGAGAGAGAGACTGGAATATATTTGTCAGCAGTATTTTAAATGATAAAATAAAATAAATAATTCTTTTAATTCTCTTTATTTTATGTTCCTTCTGTTCTAATAATAACAAGTTATAAAAAGGAAGTCGTGGTATATTTTCCTATCTTATCTTAGAAAATATCAGCAATTAGAACGAAACGAACCCATTAATAAAAACAAGACCCTTTAGGCTTTGGCACTTTGGACCTCCGAGATCCTTTGAAATTTGGGCCATCTGAAAAGCCCGATGTACTGTTCTAATTATTTTTAATAATAATTATTTCAAAACAAATAATTTTTTCGGTTCGTAACACTGTAAAAATTGTTATTTTTGGAGAGTTGTCCTATGGATGACCTGTTTGATAGGAAGACCTGTCCATTAGTTGACTTGACATTGTGGGAATAGATGTTTATGCGTGACATTTTTATTGGGGACATATTAGGAAGCCTTTTTTTGGGAGGACTTGTCAAGGGAAGAGTTTCTGAGTGTGACTTGTCACATATTTGCCGTTTTTGGGCCTTCGTCCAATCGGTTGTTTTTATGGAAAATTTGACCTCCTTAGCATGTCAGACAATTCCTCAAAAATGTTTTTTGATTCATCAAAAAATACCAGAAATAACTCATCCTAAAAAATTGTATAAAACAAGGGATTCGGTACTTCTTAGCAGAAATTAGTTAATTTTATTATTAATTTAGTAAACCCGGTCACCAAACTTTTCCAAAAACTTTGTACATATGCAGTAAAGAAAATATGTCAGTATGAGCGATTTACATTAAATGCCGGGACAAAAAATTCAAGATGTCGGATCCAATATGGTGGTCGACTTTTTAAAAATCGAATGTTATTCGCAGAAAACTTGTTACCCGGGGGTTTTCGGGGTCGCTGATTACGAATCTGAAGTCAGATTTTCAAAGTTGAAATTGTCGGATCCAATATGGAGACAAAAATTTTTTTAATTGACCAGATTTGCATGAAACTTGTTACTCGGAAGTTTTTGGGGTCGCTGATTACGAATCTGAAGTCAGATTTTTAAAATTCAAAATGGCGGATCCAATATGGCGGACATAAAAATAAAACTTGATCGTATTGACTTGCAACTTGTTACTCCGGGTCGGAGTCGCTGATTACGAATTTGAAGTGAGATTTTCAAAATTAAAAATGGCGGATCCAATACGGCGGACATATAATAAACAACAAGTTTCAAGTCAAAACGATTAAGTTTTTTTTTATGTCCGACATTTTGAATTTTGAAAAATCTGACTTCACACGGTGGGCTTGGATTAAGTTCAACCCAAAAGTCTTTGCACATCACCGTTTTCTTTTGGAATTACTTCGGGGATGTCTTCTGATTATTTTAAGACAAAAATGAAAATAATCGGTGGAGGGAAACTGAAATTATCTTAATTTTTCATTTTTTTTTATAGGTTATTCTATGTAATTTCTTTAAAAAAAGGTTTCCTTCAATTTTTTTTCTACAAAAGTTGTATTTCGGATTCAGTAAAGAATCTCTATGATAGTTAATGAATTTAAAAAATTTGAACTATTAAATTTGTTAATAAATAATGGAAGAACATGGTTTTTCATTCGTTTTTTGAAATTAACTCGTCTTGTAATTAATTTACACCAAAATTTTTCAAAGATAATTTGAAGTACATAAGATTATCTGTAAAACTGAAAAAAGAAGACTGTTCTACCTATTACCGTTCCTTAGATATGACACGTTGAAGTTGCTATTCAATGAAAAATTTAAACTTGGGAGCTCATTATTCGATGAATAATAATAATAATAATAATAATTTATACTACTGAAGATAAATTAATTTTATCTATCGCAAATTATTCGAAAAAGAGTCCTCTTAATTATGTTTTATTATAATTGTTATATTAGGATATTAAATAAAAGAATTCATCGAATAATGAGCTCCAAAGTTTAAATTTTTCATTAAATAGCAACTTCAACGTGTCATATCTAAGGAACGGTAATAGGTAGAACAGTCTTCTTTTTTCAGTTTTACAGATAATCTTATGTACTTCAAATTATCTTTGAAAAATTTTGGTGTAAATTAATTACAAGACGAGTTAATTTCAAAAAACGAATGAAAAACCATGTTCTTCCATTATTTATTAACAAATTTAATTGTTCAAATTTTTTAAATTCATTAACTATCATAGAGATTCTTTACTGAATCCGAAATACAACTTTTGTAGAAAAAAAATTGAAGGAAACCTTTTTTTAAAGAAATTACATAGAATAACCTATAAAAAAAATGAAAAATCAAGATAATTTCAGTTTCCCTCCACCGATTATTTTCATTTTTGTCTTAAAATAATCAGAAGACATCCCCGAAGTAATTCCAAAAGAAAACGGTGATGTGCAAAGACTTTTGGGTTGAACTTAATCCAAGCCCACCGTGTTCAGATTCATAATCAGCGACCCCAAAAACTTCCGAGTAACAAGTTTCAAGCAAATGTGGTCAATTAAAAAATTTTTATCTCTATATTGGATCCGCCATTTTCAATTTTGCAAATATGACTTCAGATTCGTAATCAGCGGCCCCAAAAACCCCCAAGTAACAAGTTTCATGCAAATCTGGTCAATTAAAAAAATTTTTGTGTTTATATTGGATCCGACAATTTCAACTTTGAAAATGTGATTTCAGATTTGTAATCAGCGGCCACAAAAACCCCCAAGTAACAAGTTTCATGCAAATCTGGTAAATTAAAAAATTGTTTGTGTTTATATTGGATCTGACAATGTCAACTTTGAAAATGTGATTTCAGATTCGTAATCAGCGACCCCGAAAACCCCCGAGTAACAAGTTTTCAGCGAATAACATTCGATTTTCAAAAAGTCAACCAACATTATCGGATCCAACATCTTGAGTTTTTTGTCCCGGCTTTTAATGTAAATCGCTCATACTGACATATTTTCTTCACTGCATATGTACAAAGTTCTTGGGAGAGTTTGGTGACCGGGGTTACTAAATTAATAATGATAATTAACTAATTTCTGCTGAGATGTACCAAATCTCATGTATATGAGGCATTTCATTTGAAAACGATCAGTCATGACTTAGATTTTTTTAATATTTCGTTTTTTTGTATTGTTTGGGGACTTAAATAAGTGTGAAAAATTTTAATTAAAAATCTTAAGTTTTTTTCAAGTTATGTACATTAACAAATTTAAGATACTTTTTTTCCTTTTCGCTATAACTTTTTCATTTTTCTTTGTACAGAAAAGTGTTTTAAATGTTTTTTCTTCAAAAATTGTTGAATTTTAAGAAAATGATTTTTATTTTTAATATTTTATAATTTTTATATTATTTATTCAAAAAAAAAATTTTTTTATGAATGTTTAAACCTGTTATCGGGCTAATTTCGATCTGAAAAAAATCATGAATATTCTTCAATATTATACAAATTACATATTAAAATTTGGTGAATGCATTATGTTTAGTTCTCGAGAAAATTTTTTTTGAAATTTACCGTGCCTGGCTCTAGCGATCGCATCGGTCAGCGCTTGGGTTAGATCCCATGCTCAGCGCCGATAGAGCCATGCACGGTAAATTTATTTTCACTATAACTTTTTCATTTTTCTTTGTACAGAAAAGTGTTTTAAATGTTTTTTCTTCAAAAATTATTGAATTTTAAGAAAATGATTTTTATTTTCAATATTTTATAATTTTTATATTATTTATTCAAAAAAAAAATTTTTTTATTAATGTTTAAACCTGTTATCGGGCTAATTTCGATCTGAAAAAAATCATGAATATTCTTCAATATTATACAAATTACATATTAAAATTTGGTGAATGCATTATGTTTAGTTCTCGAGAAAATTTTTTTTGAAATTTACCGTGCCTGGCTCTATCGGCGCGGAGCATGGAATCTAACCCAAGCGCTGACCGATGCGACCGCTACAGCCATGCACGGTAAATTTCAAAAAAAATTTTCTCGAGAACAAAACATAATGCATTCACCAAATTTTAATATGTAATTTGTATAATATTGAAGAATATTCATGATTTTTTTCAGATCGAAATTAGCCCGATAACAGGTTTAAACATTAATAAAAAAAATTTTTTTTTAAATAAATAATATAAAAATTATAAAATATTAAAAATAAAAATCATTTTCTTAAAATTCAACAATTTTTGAAGAAAAAACATTTAAAACACTTTTCTGTACAAAGAAAAATGAAAAAGTTATAGCGAAAAGGAAAAAAAGTATCTTAAATTTGTTAATGTAAATAACTTGAAAAAAACTTAAGATTATTAAATAAAATTTTTAACACTTATTTAAGTCCCCAAACAATACAAAAAAACGAAATATTAAAAAAATCTAAGTCATGACTGATCGTTTTCAAATGAAATGCCCCATATACAACTTTTTAGGATGAGTTATTTCCGGTATTTATTAATAAATCAAAAAACGGTTTGGGGATATTGTCTGGCATACTTAATAGTAATTAATTAGTATTAATTAGTATACATAATAGTAACCGATTTGACGAGGGCCCAAAAAACGGCTTTATTGACCCTCATCCTTTGTTTGCAAATTTTATATTTATTTGAGAGTATTTTTGGAAAGAATTTTCAAAAATACTTTGTAATCAAAAAACCACTGCACCATATATGTTATGGACGAAATTCCGTATATTTTTAATTTATTTTGTTAAATATTATTTATTAAAAATAATATTTGTTAATTTATATTACAAATATATTATCAATTATATACATCAACAACATACACAATATACACATGTAAATTTTCTAATGCTAAATATTCAATTATTATTTCAAATTAATTTAATAGCTATTTATAATTTTATTTTTCATTTATTTTTAATTTTGAAATCAATGAATTGAGATTATTGACTTCATATTGCGAAATAACATTAACTAAATTACAAATCGATTTTGCCAATTGTGGAACTTACAATGTACAAAAGTTGACACATTAGTTTGGAAAATTAGGAAACATAAAAATTACAAAGGTAATTCAGGTGGTTGAACCGATCACACCACTATTAAAATGCAAGTTCGTTAAAACTTGCATGGAAACAACGAGGTGTTGATTGCAAAATTAACCTTCCCACTACTTAAAATTATTTACAAACAGAGTGTGATCGTTGCCACCGTATTATTCTTCAAGGAGTCTTAATTTGTTTTTCCCGCAGAGCGTATGTGTTTCCCGCAAAAAGGCGGATGATTATTAAGTTCCCAGTAAAAAATAAAAGATACAAGAACGTCGGATTGCGGTTACAAGCTCAATAGCTGGTAAACGAATCCATGAGAATCTCGGATACAAGCACTTTTCGGTATCCGAAATGATCATAAGCTTGTAGACGCACTGAAACGGACGACTTTTGTAGGTCTTTTAATCAAAAAAAAAGAATTAAATGGATGCAGAAACGATGGAAAATTAAATTAGAAGCAAAAATAAATAATTATTTTTTAACGAAACGTACATTTAAACAAAAAACAATTATTCTTATTAATTCTAACCTCTGCATTAAAAACATTGTAAAATCAGTGTTCTGTTGGTAATTTTATGTTGATATTCGGAAAATATAGTTTTCTACCTTACCAACGTTGAATATAATTTTAACGAGGGTTTTTTTTCGAATTTTCTATTTTAATGCAATTTAAAATGATTTAATTAAAAGGGGGAAAGGAAATTAAAAATGAGCACCGTTTTATGTTTAATAATATTTTGATTATTATGAATTGCTTCTGAAATTGGAAAATCGAAAAACCCACGTTAAATTAATATCCAATATCGGTAAGGTAAAATTACCAACAAAACACTGTTTTTACAATGTTTTTAATGCAGAGGTTAGAATTAGTAAGAATAATTGTTTTTTGTTTAAATGTACGTTTCTTTAAAAAATAATTATTTATTTTTGCTTCTAATTTAATTTTCCATCGTTTCTGCATTCATTTAATTGTTTTTTCTTGATTAAAAGACCTACAAAAGTCGTCCATTTCAGTGCGTTTACAAGCTTATGATCATTTCGGATACCGAAAAGTGCTTGTATCCGAGATTCTCATGGATTCGTTTACCAGCTATTGAGCTTGTAACCGCAATCCGCCGTTCTTGTATCTTTTATTTTTTACTGGGTTTTACTCCCACTGAGAGTGGTTGAGTTTATTGTTTATTTCCCGCAGTAAGAGTTGAAATTGTTGAGTTTACCTATAAATACAAGTGAATATTCCACGATTAGTGAAATCTATTGAGTTATAAAAGTTCGTTAAAAGAGGAAAATTAAATATACATATATAAAGAGTCATAAATGCTAAAGTGCAAGATCCCGTTGAAATTTAAAAGTGTTTTGTTTAATATCATAATAATTATTTATATCACAAATTAAGGGGACCCGCACCTGAATTTTCAGCTATGTGAAATTAGAATTAAAAAATTTTTTTATATTTTAGGGTTCCGTACCCGAAGGGGGAACCCTATTAATGAGACTAGTGAAGCAAGTCATGAACCCCCCCCTAGCGGCCACACGAATTTATCTAGAGAGCTGAAATTTGGTATACATATGTATTTTGGCGTGTAGATTACAGGAAAAATATAGCGAATCTCATAGGAATTAATTATCATAGCGTTGTCAAGGAAAAACCATGAATTTTTACGAAAAATCCCTAAAAATGACTATGTACCCCCCCCCTGGTTGCCACATCTTTTTACATAGAGAGCTCAAATTTGGTACACTTATGTATTTTTACGTGAAAATTACAGGAAAAATATAGCGAACATGATTCGGATTAATTTACATAGCGTTGTCAAGGAAAAATCAAAAATTTTGAAAAAAAGCGATTAATCCTCCTAGCGCACACAATATTTGACGAAGGCAGTTCATATTTGGTATACTTACGTTTTTTTGCGTGTAGATTATAGGAAAAATATAGCGAGCACAATTGGAGTTGATGTTCATATTGTTTTTAAGGAAAACTCATATTTTTAGAAAAAATCATGGATGTTTCGAATAAAAAAAGAAGAAAATTTTATCCTAAGGGATCCAAATTTATACTTTTTTATGTATTTTTACGTGTAGATTACAAAAAAAATATATCGAGAACGATTGAAGTTAATTATCATAGTGTTTTCAAGGAAAAACTGATAATTTTCGATAAAAATCATGATTTTTCCCCAAAAAACGAAGAATATTTTATCTAAAGAGTTTCAAATTTATACACTTTTACGTATTTTTGCGTGTATATTACAAAAAAAATATAGCGAGAACTCCAATTGTGCTTGCTATATTTTTTTGTAGTGTTTTGCCATTCTTTATAATTTGCCATTTTCTTTTTTTTACCATTTGCTATTTTTTTTATCTTTTGACATTTTTTATTTGTTAATATTTTTATTATTTGGTGAAATCTAAAAAAAATCATAAAATTGAAAATGTTAAAGGATAAAAAAATTTTTAAAAACTTATGATATGTATTTCCATGCTCACATTACAGGAAAAATTAAGCAAAATTGGAATTTTTCTATCGGCCTTCACACTTTAAACCCCTGAAATTTTAGGATTAGGGCAGGGGTACGGAACCCTCGGTTTTAATGCGAGTGTAACTCGCACTTGTCCGATTTTTTTTTCTGTCACTATTTTTTATGAGAAATCACGTGAAAAAATAAAATTAAAAAAAAAAATTTTTTCTTCGATTTAGTAATTGTAACTTTTTACAAAATTAATATTTCGTAAAATACATACCCTTAATTGTTAATCTGAGTCTAAGAAAACAAATAAGACAATGACCAAAAAAAATATTGAAATTTGTGGAAGAAGAAGCATTTTTAGTGAAATGTCAAAAACTTAATTTGCAAATAACTTTAATATAATGTTACAATCATACATTATTATAACAAAAATCATTTATTTTGAATAGAAAATATGCGACAAGATTATACATATTCAAGTCAAAGTGAATTTTGTTGAAATGATCTATAAAACTCGTTTCAATGAATAAACTTCTGATGATTTTTTTATAACCTTGGTCTGATACTAGATCAAAACATGGGAAGTTTTGAATAAAATTTTTATTTCATCACTAATAAAAATTCTCAAGCTAGTTTCATTGGAATTACTGTTTTTCATTGTATCTACTACCTAATTGCAAAACATGTTCAATTGTTCAAACACCTTGAAGGAACTTCACTTAGAAGAAACGTTTGACAATTCAGTTATCACAGTGACGGTATTGTGAAAAAGTATTTTCAAAATTCCAAAAAGAAATTCAGCGTATTACCGCAATAAGGTGGAAAAAGATGTATCCAAGTGAAAAACACTGTTGAATGTGAAGGCACTGATATTCAAGAAAAAAGTACAAATCACCCGGATAATGACATCAGTAGATCCGAAACTTTGCAAACTAACCATATAGGGTCGCCAAAATTGAGTACGAGAGTGAAGAATCTACCTTCTGCTTCTAATGTTACTCAAAATGTGGAAAGCAATTTCGAATATATTTTAGTGGATTCAAGAATTTTGTCGACTC